AGAAACAGCTGCTAGGCTTTGTTTTTATATTTGAGCCCAGTTAGCCAATAAGAGCCTTTCTTGGTAGGTGGTTTTTTTTTTGTTTGTTTTTTTCTGGAGGTTAACAGCTATCAGTCAAAAAATAGTAATTCTGCCATACATTATGTGAAAAACTTGTTGGTTATACTAAATGTTTATTGAACTGAGGATATATAACAAATATTTTTAATATGTGGGATCTTTTTTGTTTTGTCTTATTTTATTTTCTTCTGCTTTACCTCTTTATCATTAAACAGCGCGGATGCATATGTGTGTGTGGCTGGGGTGGGGGTCAAACACACAAGGCCCTGGTTATTTAGACCTTCTGTGGCTGATGATTATTGCAGACTCTTTTTTGTTTTGTTTTATTAATCCTCACCTGAGGATATTTTTCCATTGATTTTTAGAGAGAGTGGTGGAAGGGAGGGAGGGAGAGAGAGAGACAGACAGACAGACAGACAGACATCGACATCGATTGGTTTCCTCCTGCAGGTGCCCGGACTATGGCCAGGGATCAGATCTGCAACCCAGTTATGTGCCCTTGACCAGGGTGACCTTTTGGTGCATAGACTGAAGCTATAACCACTGAGCACCACCAGCCAGGGCTATTGCAACGCTTTAGTAAAGATTCTAGGGCTTAGGGAGGCTGTCGTTATGTATGTGTTTTGAGGGAGGTTTTGGTATTAAAGACTCTTCACAACCCATTTGACCCTGTTGCCTTGGCCAGGTGGGTCAGAGACCGCCCTTAACCTTAAGCTCTCCTTCCTCTAGTCCTGCTTGAGTGAACTGCCATTCCTCTCAATTGAATTTAGAACTTTCCAGTCATCCTGGATTCATATTTTAAAGACCTATGATGCAATTTTTATTTTAAGAATTGGAACATAGGAAAATAACATATGCTTGTATTAACAAGAGAAAACCATAGCAATTGCATCCACATATTATGGCTGGGTCTCAGATTCGATGAACTCTGGGATGAGATGGAAAACATAATAAGCTTGATTCTGAAAATTGAATAATCAGCATTCCATGTGGCTCCAATTGTAATGGATGGAAAGACATAAGCAAATAAAAGGATGGTTTGCTCGTAAACTCTTCTGAGACTGTCACCATAAAAGTGGATTTATCTCTTCAAACAATTGTCCATTGAACTGTGGAATAAGGAACACAACCTCCAAATTTGAAGTATCGCCATTTTAAGTCAAGTTTTGAAAAAACAAATCCAGACACTTTTAAATTTATAGGATTAATCTTCTGTCTTTCCGCCAATAACAAGAAAATTGAATCTGTAAAATTACGTTCGGTATATAATTTTCAGCTGTGTAATTACTGTTTAAAGATACATGTCTTCAATTTCTTCTGCCTTTTGAAACTCCAGTCCATTTCAAATCTTTTGTTAATAAGCAATTTAGTTCTCAGAGAATGGTTTCTTTGTGTTGGTAATTAAGTGTTATATTTACACAAAGGAAATAGTGAAATACAATCCCTTCCAAAAAGAACATTCTAAAATATTCCACTAAGCAGCGCAAAAGCATGACCCTGCAGTGGCATAATTTCTTCTGGTGATGCCAACAAAACCTCCCTGATTCCTCTGAATGATATGCCTGTTCCTTTTAGGTGTGATAATTGATGAAATATTGGAACAACTCAAAAGCAATTGTGAAAGTGAATATACAGCAAAGTTTATCACTTGATACTTTGGCATTAGGTCTGGCCACTGTGGCTTGTGTTTGCCTCTTAGGCAGCAAATACTTGCAGGCAAATGTATTTTCTGCCCATTTAATATGCTTACTGATGTGAATTTTTTTCTACAGTGAAAAATGGTTACTAGTTAATATACTAACAAACATGCATGGGGCACCCCCTGCCCATGTGACAGTAACTCTGCTAAGAGCTGCAGAAAACACAAGTCTGAGTAAAGGGGGCCCACCCTCCCTGGGGTCCAGTCTGGTCAGGGAAATATGATGAATAGGATTTTGACAAGCAAAGGAGAAAGGATAGGTTCCAGCGGTGGGCATTGGGGTGGCAGGGGACAGACGCTTGGAGGGAGGAAATGCAAGGCATGTTTAGGAAAGAGAAATATGTATGTGATTATCATCATATTTATTATACGCCAAGCACAGTGCTAAATGTTTTATTTGCAATATGTCATAAAGACCCACTCATCCTAGTCTGGGTGGGATTTTCCTGCGTGAGCACTGAAAACCCTGCATACCAGGAGGCCTCTCAGTTCTGGACCAACTGGGACTGTTGGTTACTGGACATGCATTCCTTAGGACTTTATGAGATCTAGGCTACTATCATTCTCAGTTTACACATGAGGGCAAGGAAGGTCAGGAGGCAGAGGAATGCGTCTCAGATTGCATAGTTGCTAATACATGGGGAGCTGAGATATGCAATAGAGTGCTCTGAACTACTGGTGTGAGACATGAATCCTTAAGGCTAAAAGGGAGCATTTGCATGGCACAGTTCCAGGCGGCAAAACAAAGAAAAGGAAGTTGGTACAAAACTGTGGTGGACTCCAAGTTCAAGGATTTTTCCTGTGGGCATTGGAAAGTTTCTAGGTAGCAGAACATCATGGTGGAAGCATTCCTGACTAATTTGATATTCATGGCAATAAAGCGATTAGTTCAAACACCGTTTTGTCCCACCACGTCTTCTTATCTCTAGACATCTACAAATCACCCCCTAAGGCTGCTGCTCCCAAACCCTAAACAAATCAAAGAGAGTATATGGAAGATCAAAGGAATATGTCCTATTTCTAATCCATTTCAAGCTTTTTTCCCCCTTCACTTGTTAATATTTTCCCCCATGTTTTTCTCTCTAGCAGAAACTAGAAACACTTGAAAGGTTGTAAGCAGCTTTGCTTAAACACATTTCTTCTCAAGTCTATCATGTCTCAAATCTCATTTCCTTAAAGAAATAACAGGTAGAAGAGGTGCCGGGTCTCGGCTTCTCTCTGAGCGATGAGAACAGAGCAGGGCAAATAAATGTGTGTGTGGCTTGATTTAGAGTCTCTGTGTGTGTGTGTGCACATCTTTTGTCATTTTACCAATTTCCTGTGAGGCTGCTTATGCCCTTTTATTGCCTTTTATTCTGAACTGTCATGTGGTTTATTTGAGAGGGTGGTGGCTGGGATCGACACATGCTATTTGTTGAGATGTATGCCATCTGAGGTCAGCGTAATGCCATGGTCTGGTTAGTACAAGACAGCCACGCAGAGAAAAGTCCATTCAGGGGGGAAGGTGGTGATTTTTCAAGAAGTGCCTCTCCCTATTTGATTCAAAGAGATATGTTATGCAGAAACCTGAAACAGGAAGCCTTTGTGCTGGAAAGATCCATTTAGCTGCATTTCATAATGTTTCCTCCCAAGTCACTAGGTCCTTACACTCCTAAGCTTTTTCAAAATTGAAAATCATTGCCTTTGCAAGACCAACCCATCCTTCTCTAGGAGGTCCCATCCAGTTGGTCAAACTTCCTTTCTGGGACTTTATTTGATGATAAATTATATAAAGAAATTAAACAGAAACACCATTAGCAATGTTGACAACACTCCCACACACATGAAAGATTTAATGAAAAACAGGAGCTAGGGAGTTGAATTTGCACACAAAGGACCTATGTAACATGGATATTCTCTGAAAAGTTAAAATCAGTGGTGCATAGCTATCTCATCCACTGATGAAAGAAGATTTGATTTATTTAAGGAAAAGGGGATGGGAGGTGGGAATATTCAAAGGGAACGGATACAAGGATAAAAAGGGGCCTTGAAGACAGGCTCAAGGGGTTTGCCAGGGACGAGCTGCCATGGCTCATTGCTCTCCTGGTTGTAAGTCTCATGAGGTCCCTTAGAAGTTGGGGGTATGTGCCTGTGGGGGGAATGGCTATGGCATGCTCCTTGGTGGGAGAGCCTGCACTGTTTTGAGCATATTTGTCTCTCTTGCTGGTGGAAATCGTAGGGGAGGTCTCATTAGGATACTCATCAGCTTTCCAGGTGTGCTCTTTAAAGGTTGTGCTCTCCACTGATTGGTCGGTGCCAGGGCCGGGGTGGGGGTCGGGGGGATCATTAGACAATGTAGCTGGTTCTAAGGCAGCCAGGTGCCACTTGTCTAGTTTTGCTGCTTTTCTGGGCCTGGAGCTGAAATACAAGTGAGGCCTCAATGTTATCTTTAGGAAGGAAAAGGTCAGGGAGTTTAAACCGCCTGACCAGTGATATGCTAGGGGAAGATGGGTTACCCTGGAGGTGAGGTTCTTGTTTTTCCAGTTTTGCCCCTTGCTCAGCATCCAGGGCTTTCTGCCGCGGTGAGTTTCTGTACCTGGCCTATGCCCTTGCTCTGGGGGCCTAACATTCTCTGAATGCAAATGCAAGTTGTTTTTTCTTGGCAAATACCCAAGATCTATCCTTTGTTTTGCTTTTAGTGACAGGGAAACATTCATTTCATTATTTCATGTCTCAGTTGAAGTCATCCAGAATGGGATATTCAGAGCTATTTTAGGAGGCCAGGTATGGTAGGCTTTGGGAATGGCACCAGTTGTCCGACTGATGGGGTCAGACCAAACGGGGGTTCAGGAACCTCTGTACTTGGGTTCTGGCTAGGAAAGAATTCAGAGTAAGACCCAAACTGTAGGAGAACATTTACTTGGTAAATTACAAAGGAAAAGAAGTAATTCCTAGAAGAAACGGGCTTAGGAAACAAGTTATGGAGAGAAAGGAAGGGCCCCTGGAGCTTGGTAGTGAGGAAGCTAATGGTAACATACCTGAGGGGTGGGTAATTGAAAGGCAAAGGCGCTCTCCCTGGAAGGAGAGTGCACTGGGTCCTCCATCCTAAGGGTTTTAAGGGTGGAGATTTTAGGGGAGGCCCCATGGGAAAGATCTTAATAGAATATTCAGTAGCTTTCCAGGTGTGTCCATTCAGGGTTGTGGTCTCCGTTGATTGATTGGTGGCACCAGGGCAGGGGGTCATTATCCAATGCAGCTGGTCCTGACGTCAGCCATGGCTGGTTTTGTTGCTTATCTGGGGCTGGAGCTAAAATACAACAGAAGGCTACATGTTATTTCTAGGGAGGAAAGGTCAAGGGGTCCAAACCTCATGACCAGTGATATTCTAGGGGAGGAAAGTCACCCTGGGGGCAAGGTCCCACCCTATAATTGATTGTCCCTTGCTAGGCACCTGGGGCTTTCCAGGCTGATGACCATCTGTACCTGGCCCATCGTCCTTGCTCTGCTCAGGTCTATGTAACTGCCTACAGCATAGGGATAGTATGAATATGGAAGCAGATGGATGGAACCAGCTCAAATGGTTGGGACCATGTGTACCAAGGAGTTGGAGGTGTGAATGGCCAAATGAATCCTTACTCTTCAATGGATGAGTCTGTCAAATCAAAAAAGAAGGTGGTTTCTGCTAAACACAAGTACAGGCAGCTGAAGGAATTGTTCAAAACGGAGACAGTTCAGAGTCCTGCTTTGAGTACCTCTCGCCCTCCATTTTAAGTCAGCTGGACCATTCTATAGAGGTAAGAAGAATGCCAGGTTCTCTACCCTGGCTGTATGTTAAAGTCACTAATGCTCTGTGTCTAATCACAACAGACCAATTAAATCAACATTAGGTTATGGAAAAATCCAGACATCTGTGCATTTTTATATGCCTACAGTCAGGAATCCTATCAGGACTCAGAAACCAGAACCAAAAACTTAATTGAAATAATTTTAACAAGTTAACCAGTTATTGAGAATTCAGGAAGCAGCTACTACCTCTAAGGGTGGGGAAAACAAAGGAATGAAGTCAGGGCTAGGGGCCCTGCAGAGCTGAGACCCTTGCTTCTGGGCAGTGTTCTCCAGCTTTTGCTGGTGTCTGACCTCAGGGGAAGGACCTCCTAGAGCTGATAGGACACAGATTTCAGAGGAACAGGCTTACTAGAACTTACTTGTACCTCAGATGCAAATGGTTCTGGGATTGTGGCAAAACTAGAAACTAAAACCAACTTCCTACTGGAACTAACTGGTAGGGCCAGGGTGACACTGATAGAAAGAGAAATGGAACAGGGTGGAGAAAAAGCCCTTCTCCATATTCCAGTTTTCTCTAGTGCCCTCTATTGTCAGAGCTGGTAAAGGAGAAATACTGTTGGCACAGTTCCAACACTAGCATTTCAAAGCAGTACATGGAAGGGTAGATTTAAAGTAAAAATCGTGAATTAATAACCAGCACCGTGCCCCCAGGTGATCTGTTGGACAGGTAGGGTTCACTACTGAAAGCTATGATTTAGGATTCTCCTTGGGGCATTCCTGGTTTGCTTTTGTTGTCCCCAGTCAGTTCAACCTGCCTATGATCATCAGCCTGCTCCTTCGGTCTTCTAGTTTACCTTTGGACTGAATGGACTCTTGACCTTTGGGTTCCCACAGTTATAGCTCAGATTTGGCCCAGGGATTCTTCCAGCATTAAAGACTATGGCCCTATAGGACCCAAGGCTAGGCACTTAGAAGGCAGATATTGCACTATGATGTCCATGGAGTTTGTTTGACTCATAACTTCAGGGACCATATTTTGCTAGAAGAAGCTAGTTCTGGTGGTCCAGCACCACTTTGTGTTGATGGGCAGTCCCAATAGTGGTCTGCTGCCATTGGCCGTGGTGAGAATCTACGAAGGAAAATCTGTTATCCTGTGATGTGTGGTTGAAAAAAACATGAGCTTTTATGCCTCTGCTTTTTTTTTTTCTGGAAAGTCTAGTTGGATTCTTTTTATTAGTTGTGGGGTTCATCACTTACAAAATGCCCAACCAGTTAAATCAGAAGAGAAATAAAGCTAGTCCTTATCATGAAGCCCTTCTATGTACACGGAAACACTATAAATCCTGATTCAAATTATTAGAATGAGTGTCAGCAGACTTCAGTCGCTGGTTTAAATGTTTATTCAGCACCTACCATGATCTAGGTAGTGTTCTAGGAAATGGAAGTACAGCAATGAATCAAGCAAGTTATTGTCCTCATGGAGGTTACATCTTACTTGAGAAGAGGGAAAATAGTGTATAATGCACCAGATGATATATTAGTTATGTATTACTGTGGAACTAATTATGTCAAATTTAGACCTTAAAACAACAACGGTTTATTATCTCACAAATCCTGAGAATCAGAGCCTGGGAGCAGAGCAGGTGTGTGGTTCTGGCTTTTGCTCTTTCGTGAGGTTGTAATCCAGTTGTCATGAGGCTTGCAGTCTCATCTGGAGATATGTCTGGCTTTGAGGGATCTGTTGCCAAGTTCATTCATGTGGCATTATCATGAGGCATGTGGACCTCTCCAAGAGCTGCTCACCACTTAGATGGCTCACTCTGGGGAAAGCTAGCTGCTAAGAAAAAGAGAGTGATCAAGATGGAAGCCTTTATAACCTAATCTTGGAAGTGACATATTGTGGCGTCTGTCATATTCTATTATTCCTAACCCTGATAAAATGTGGAGGCGGACCATGCAAGGGCATGGATACCAAGATCCAGGGATTTTTAGGGCTGTCTGGGAGGCTGGCTATCATGAACGGTATTAAACTCCATGGAGAAAGCAGAGTAGGAGGGCATGGGTTTGGAGTTATCATTGCTCTTAATACAGATGGTCAGAGAGGACTTCACCAATACATATCGGGGACCTAAAGGGTAGCTTTATGGCTTGCTTTTTAAAGAATTCCTTTTCCAGAAAGACTTCCCTCAGCTCCTGTCCCATCCCTCTTGTTCACTGAGAACTCCTACTGTGCGCACCCAGAATACCCACACTTACTCTCTAAATCACTCTGTGATGTCTTCTTTCTTTCTCATCCACTAGAGCAGTGATGGCGAACCTATGACACGCGTGTCAGAGGTAACACGCGAACTCATTTTTTGGGTTGATTTTTCTTTGTTAAATGGCATTTAACTATATAAAATAAATAACAAAAATATAAATCTTTGTTTTACTATGGTTGCAAATATCAAAAAATTTCTATATGTGACACGGCACCAGAGTTAAGTTAGGGTTTTTCAAAATGCTGACACGCCGAGCTCAAAAGGTTCACCATCACTGCACTAGAGGATGAGTTCTTCAGTGTCTTGGACAATGTTTTATTCATCTTTGTAAGTCCAGTAAAAGATCAGTAAATGCTTGATGAATGAATGACATGCATAAATGAATTTACTTTCTCTACAGTCTCTTTTAAGGAATTTAGCTTGAACTACTCTTTAACATTATATGTTTTTTTTTAATTAAACATCAATTATCTTTGCCTAAAACAAAAAATCCTTGAACATGGGTTCATATTGCCACTCTAAGCATATAAATGTACCCCTCTGCTCAATTGCATTGCCTGCGGATACTGTTAGTTTATGAAGCACCATATGGAACAAAAATATGTGGCAACTTATTGAATGGGAACATTTTGTGAGAAAAATATTTTTGTTTCCATGCTGCACCATTTCTATTAAATAGCTTCTAAATATGTAAAAAGAAAAAAAAAACCTCAGAGTGGCAATAGAATACCCTAAGGAGTCTAGAAAGCATGCAAAACAGCAATATTATTTTATAATGGAAACCAGATATGAGTGATTATTATTTCTTCATACCCTTTCTTTTGGCAATGATTTATTTCTAAATATATGTCCCTTGTCTGATAAATCACATGCTGTGACTCACCCACAGCCCAGGGACAAAGGCACCCACTTATACAAAAGGACAATTGGTCACTCACAGAAATATATGTCTTGTGTTTGGGAACTAAACTGTCATTCCAACATCAGCAGCCTCTCCTCCTGTGTGTGCCTCCAGAGGTCTAGTTTGGCATCTAGTTTAGGATTGTTTCCAAATTTCAGCCCTGAGAACTCAAAGTATCAAAGCCCCGGAAACTATAATGTGCATAGGAGTCACATAGGTATTTTGTTAAATGCAGGTTTTGATTCAGAAGGTCTGGGGTAGAGCCTAAGATTTAGCATTTCTAGCCAACTCCTGGGTGATTCTTTGGGGCTGGTCCTCATATCATGCTTTGAGTAGTAAGTTATCAAAGTAGGTCCAGAGAGTCCAAACTTTACCTGCCTCCCTGCCTATGTCTGTAGATAGTTTGAGATTTCCCTTTTTTCCCCTCTTTTTAAAAAATCATCCTAATGAGAAACTCTATGATAGTCACAAAGCAAATTTATTTTATTGATTTGCAAAGTTTTTAAGCCATTTTTTTCTCTAAAAGATAATTTATATTTTGGATCTCTGTTCCTTCGAAAGTTTATTTTGAAAAACAACATGTTCTACCGGTACATTTTTGTCTAAACAAGTGCCAATGCCAAGCAATCTACCAAACTAAATCCTTACCTCCATGTCAGATGTTCTGCATTTCATGCATTTCCAAATTGGAAATGGGGAGGGGCGGGGGAGAGAGAACCATTAAAAATTATATTTATTATCCCAGATAAAATTCCAGATCAGCACCTTTCTCTACTGTTCCAGCCACATAGGAGGAACTGGGGGTTTCACCTATGATGTGTTTTGTTTTTATTATTTTAAGAATTATTATTCTCATATTTTAAACTTTTATCATTTTAAATTTTATAACTTTAAAATAAATATTTTTTGATGTGACACTGATCTAGCTATACTCAAAGTAGTACATAGACTGTGCAGGGATATTCACTAGTCTTTGGTCTATGTATATTCAAATGGTCTTTTCAAGATATACAACATGTTGCCAGGAAGTATTGGCTTTTGTTTCTTTTCAAAGGCTTATCAAAGTGCAAAAATGTGCCAGAATGAGTAGGAGCTCCCCTGACTGTATCTCTTAAGCATCTCACCTAACCTCTAGAGTCCTTACCCTGGTCTAAGTAAGAAGGTAGCACCTGTGTCCAGAAGGCCTTGAAACCCACTAACTAGGTCTCTCTAGCAGCCAAGCCCAGCATTTTCCCATAAACTACCAGCCATGTGTCATATTGGTCCCCAACTCAACATGTCTCACAGTTCTCAAAGCACATATATTTCACAGACAACTCACAGGGTGGATTTGCATATTTTTAAATGTCTATACTTAGTAATTTTGGAGTAATCACAGATTTTCCCATCTTATTTCAGTTTTGAGCCTCAGTGCTACCTCAAAGATATTGAGTACTTCTGACTTCTGAATACCAAAAAAGGCAATAACAAGGAAAACCAACAGATTCCTCTTCTGTTTTATATGTTGGAATGCAATATTTAAAATATACCCACTCTTTACCATGTAAAGAGGACCAGAAGTCAGAAGACCCAGACCCTATGTTTAGCAATCCCTTAGTCACCATCTACATCTGATTAGCTTGGGACACTGCTCATTGCCTCTCTGGGACTCAGTTTCCTCATTTGGGAACATGGACCAGCAGGGCTTTTGTGAAGAGCGAACGAAGCAATAAAGTCTTACTTTGGGCCTAAATGCAATACATCCTCCCATGCGTGCCTGTGCTTAGAGAGGGGACAGGAAGAGGATGATGGTTAGGATGAGGGGAAAACAGTCAAGAATTCTCTGTAGCCTAGAGCATGGTAGAACCTGCAGGGACAGTCCCATAACTTTCCCAAGGATCATCCTGTCCTGGGAAAGGGCTTGAATGATCCTGCAGAAAAATTTGACCCTTTTCCTGTTCCCCATTAGGAAAGTTGCTGTCATCAAAAGAAGTGGAATCTTTGGGAAAAGGAAGGGTATTTGCCATGTTAACGTTTTGTTCTTTCCCAGCAGGGCCCATGAGAAGACCATCTCAGAATATACCTCGTGGGAATAGAGCAGAGAGCCTTCCTGAACCGATAGCCTGGGAGCAAGCAGGACCTCAAAAGCTGGCTTAAGTGAACTCGTGACTCGTGGTAATTGGAATCACATCATCTGGCTATATAAGACTTTCTTTCTTTGTTCAACATAATTTCAACCTGAAGAGGCAGCATGGAGGAACAGAAATAGCGCTTGCAAAAGAGTCTGGTTTAATCCCTGCCCTGTCATTTAGAAACTGAGTGAATTCAATTTTGTCATAGGTAAAATGGACGAGATTTGAACAGGTCAATAATAAATGCTTTTCTCCTCCTTCAATTAAAATAGATGAGTCAAATTGGGGTGGGGGTGCCCAACATCAGCTTAATAACTGGTGCATCTTGATTTGGGAATCATGAACCATTCATTCCTAGTATTTCTAATATTTTACCCTTTCCAAAAACTGAACCAAATTCAGACAAAATAGCTAGAAAGTCATAACCATCTGTCTTCCCCAAAGGTCACTCTTGGCAACAAAGAAGAGATAATGGAGATTACACAGAGCATGACATCACTTCAAAAACAAGAGGAAGAAGAGGGGACTCGATGACCTCAAATCACCTGGGAAAAGAACAGTGAGCCAGTGGGTGCGCAGACCCTTGGTACTCCACCAATCGTAAAATGGAACAGGTTCTCCTGGGGGTGGGAGTATGACATTGAGTCTGGGAGGGTCTGTGATGGAAACCTGAAAATATGCGGACAGAGGAAGAGGTCCCTCAATCAGATACTGCCACCTCCTCCGTGTAGTTGGTGAAATAATCAAATGAGATCAGTAAGTGGCGCATCAATCAGAGAGCCAGTGACCATTTGTGGTTATTTTCTTTCCTTCCATCTTCTTTCCCCCAAACCTACCCCTGCCCTACCCTATTTTGGAAATGAACAAGGCCAAGTTCTGTAGCAGCTCCCCTAAGACACTTTCCCCAGGGCAACACTGTCTACCTCACTCAGCTGCTGTGGGCCCTGGATCCTGCCCAGCTTAGCATTTGCTGGACAGAAGAGTCCTGGCTGGGTGATAGTTTTCCAGCCACACTCTTTCCAGCAGGAAATTTTTAGGCAGAGAAATCACAAATTCTCTTCCCTCTCAGATTCCTTGACTGGGCCCTTTTTAATGAGGGTCAGCATTTTCCAGCTGTGGTTCCTTCCTCTTTTCTTATTTCCTTCGTCCTGTCCTCTCTGGATGATGCCACATCTTCAACTATACAGACTGTGATTTGGCTCACATCTCCAGCTGCCACACACCCACTTGGATTCCCTTTGAACATCACAAAGGTAACTTACGTTCTTATCCCCCTTCCCACAAACTGCTTTTCCAGCTCTCGTTTTCCACTCACTCTCCCTAACAAAAATCTTAACATTATCCTCAGTTGCCAATTCTTGGCTACTCCTCGCATTGAAGAGACGCTCAATTCCATTAGTGTCTTACATCTGGCCTCTTCTCTCCTTCCTGGCTGTCCATCCCTGCCTTAGACTACATCCTCATCTTTCACCTGCCTCCTTGCACTGACCTCATAAATATATCCCAGCTACAAATGTCAATCCTCCAGTATATTCTTGACCATCATTCACAGGTAAGGTCATTTGCAAAAATCTCTCTCTCTCTCTCACACACACACACACACACACACACACACACCCCTCCTACATAACTTGCAAAACATTCTTGACTCCCTTCACCCAGTGCTCTGAGTCCGAACTTCTTAGAATGACCTGCAAGCCCACTAGTGTCCAGTACCTATTGCCTTGTTTTCCATTCATCCATCCTCCAAGCCTTAGAAGCCCATGGTACTGAATTAATATTACCATCCCCAGAAGAGTCCATGATGCCCTTTGCCACTTCTGTGTTTATGCCCCTTCTGTGCTCTCCAGGTTGAATGTCCTTCCACAGTACACACACCTATTCCCTGGCTTGTAAACCTATTTTTCCTTTAAGGATAATCTCAGATGTCCCTACTTTGGCAAAGCCTTCCTTGCCTTTCCTGCTTATTAGTTAGGTCCCTTCTGAGGGTCCTCAGTATTTAACTGCTGTTTCAGAGTTATGCATAATCAAATTGTAGGGATTGTAGATAATACATTGAACTTACGAGTCTCCCACTATAATGGTACCTTCTTGATAGCAGAAAATTTTTAAATATATTTTCAGCATATTGGCCCCCTCTTAGATTCAATCTCTGTGCCCTTTATTGCATGCAGAGATAAATAGAAGCATGAAGACTGGTTTGTGGTAGTGGGATAAAGCATTCCCATTAGCCACAGGTCTGGGAGTCAAGAAACGCAGCCCCAGACATCGGTATGGCCTCTACTTGGCCCTGTGAACTTAGACCCCCCTCTTCCAAGATGTGTTTGGTTCCTTAGTCTGAACAATGGCCAGATAATAACTAAACAACTCTTCTAGTGGGTAGTAATGGCCACGTGAGAAATTACTTGTCTCAGAGTATTTTCATGTCTAATGTGTAAGTTGAATATAATAAAAGATGTCACTGTTACTAGCATGAACTAGACTTTCTGGCTTAAATAGGGTGACCCTTTTATCTTAGCTATTTTGTAATAAATGAGTGAAAAGATGATACAGATGCAAAAGATTTAAATAATTAAACATACAGAACTCAATTAGTAGTTAGTTGCATCCTCATTTTATACCTGGAGTTACTTAACTGCTTTTCTTTTCATAGTCTTTAAAGTCAGACCCCTTCCAGGATGTGACTTCAGACCAGCTTTGTCTTCAAAAACTCCCCCTGATATTTTGAGAAAGAGGACAATTTACACTGCTGTGGTTAGAACTCCCATCTATATTAGAATAATTTTAAACACAGAAAACTATGCACTGAGAGTTCATCACAGTATATTTTTCTACAAGAGGGAAAAAAATAGAAACACACAAAATGTCCAACAAGAGGGCAATGGTGAAATGAATTTTAGTGTTTTGTGGGATGAAGAACAATGCAGCCACTGTATATCATGTTGCAAGGCTTTGTAGCTACTTGGGGAAGCATTTGTGTTAAGACATTACATGAAAAGGCAAGGTAAAGAGCATGTATACAATATGAGCACAAGAAACTAAGAAGCACAGCTGTGTCATAGCCCTTGCTTGTACTTACCCTCTGCCAGTGGAAAAATGGTGGAGGTCACCTTGGTTGCAGGAATGGGAACCTCTTCCACCAAGAACTTTTCATCCTCAGAACTTTCTCTGCCAATTGGCCCTGTGGGGAAAAGATTTCAATACTCTCATATTCCCAGTCCTACTTCAGTTCTCTGAACATTTTTTTTTAATAACTTATGTTTGATTACCAAAGTAATATATGTTCACTAGGAAGTCGCCCTAATTTTAAAGTTTATTAACCACGCCTGGTTTGGAGTGAAATTGGAAAATGATTGTTTCTTCAGCAACCCAAACTGTTGGCAGCTTGCCTCCAAAGAGAGCTTAGAATTATGTAACTCTGAGTTTAGCAGAAAAACTTTTCTAAAAGGGCCAACTTCTCTTCTAGAACCCATGGTATCAAAGCAGCTTTTAAGCAAATTATAATCTTATCATGCTGGCATTTCCAGAATTCACCCTTGAAAGTGTGACACGATTTATGGTTATTTTTAGTGCCTTGTAATGGGCAGTGAATTGTAGATAAACAAATGGAGTCTTCTTCTCCCCTAAGAGGGCTGTTAGCGATTAATTACCATCTAGTGGTGAATCAGAAGAGAATAATCAAGGTGGGTAAGAAGAAGGTGAGGGCTGGGAGAAGGTCACCTTCTCAGAGAGTCAGGCAGTATGTTGGATGTGCTCACCTGACTGATCACCTCATCCCCGAGATCCTCACGGGTCTAAGTAAACCTCTCCTGGACCCTCGTGTAGACAGGCTTTCACACAACCACAATCGCCTGTCATGACACTCACAGGCCCCAGGGCCTCACCACAAACCTACTGAATTGCAATCCCTGGGCTGAGGCTCAAGATTCTGTATCTTAACGAAGTGCCCCAGTCAGTCTCATGCACCCTTTTCAGGACAGGAATCTGAGGACGCATGTGGGAAATGAACCTGCCTAAGGTCACACTGCAGGGAGGTGGCAGGGTCTTCTGACCTCCAGGCCAGCCATTTTCAGTGGGGATATTGGGCCTTAGAGGGACAGACCTGTGTAAGAACAGAGGGATGGATATGACGGTTACCCAGGCCAGAAACAAATCCTTGGTCTACCATCCCTCCAAAGTCTTCCTTGGTTCATAGCAATGTCTCTGTGCAGTTTTTAGAGGAAACTAAAAAATAAAATTGCAAAATGAAGCATAGTTTCTGTAAGGACATTTCTTAGAACAGTGCCTTTTACAATGTAATCCATGAAGAAGGAATTACATAATTGAAGAGGTCACTGGATCCTTTTTCCCTGTTTTGAATAGCTTCAAGAAATCACTTGGGTGAGCCTATAAAAGCACTGAGATGTCTTGCAGTAAAGCAGCCTGTTTAGCTTTCCTCATTCTCATTTTTGAGTAACTAGTGCTCTTGAGAAATCATCTACTCATCCAGAAGTTTCTTACTCAAGTCCATGTCACAAGCAGTGGGCCAGCTGCCATGATGGAAAAGGCACTCACCTTGGAGCCTAGAGACCTGAGTTTTAGATGCCTCTCTGACCCTTGCTAGTTTTGAGACCTTGGGAAAGTCTCTTGCCCCATTTTACGAGTGAGGAACCTAAGACACACACCTCTTTCCTGTCACCTCTACTAGGTCGTTTGGAGGAACGCATGCAACTAACTGCCTGCAGAATAGATGGCACTCTCCTCCCTCTTCACAGGCTCATCACCCAGGAGATCTTCTCCATCCCAGAGACCTCCTCCTGTCTTTAAGCACAAGACCTTGACAAGGTGACACCAGGAGTTGATTGTGACACAAATACGGCTTCTAAGAGTAACCAGCTAACCCTCAAATCACTGCAATACTAACTTTCTCTTGTCATTCATGACAAATCCTCAAAACATCAACTGTAGAAGGTATTGACTCAAGGGTGGAACCTTTCTCACTGAATTACAGGTCAGGTGTTCACGTAATTGATTTTTCTTCTCTCGAGACATTGGTATTATTCACAGTCAGATGGCAGAGGATGGTACAGTTTCCCTTATTTTTCTGAGTCTGTGTTCCAGTGGATTGTTCTATACCCAAACACACTTCCATTAGTAGCAGCCCCTCCTCCTCTTCCATAAGGGAGGGACCCCATTGTAGAGAAGGGGGATAGAAGCATGAGCGGCTACACAACAACCTAAGGGAAATAGCCACTGATGTGTGGCTTTGGCTCTGGTGAAGTGTGACTCATCACTCACCTCTGAGCTTCCCACAGTGCTTGGCACTCTGCCTGCTACCTCCTAGTTGCTGGAGAAATATTTCTGAATGAATGGATGAGTGAACTCTGTCCTACAACACCCCACATATTTCTCTGGTTTAATGGAGCCTCCATGAGCCATCTTTCTCACCCATGATAGACAACCCACTATCATGAAATTGAAAAGTTAATACAAGAAACTTATTAATACACTCAGAAAAACCAGGCAGTACAGGTCCAACAATGAATAGAGCTTTTTTTTTTTTTGGACTCTCAGTGATCTCACTGTGCATGCAGTAGGGGACATTCATTGAGCTGCAAGTATCTCAGGGTAAGGCCATGGCAACACGTGAATTTATTTTATTTCCCCCAATAGATTTTAAGATCCCAGAAGACAGGAACCATCCTCAGTACCATCATCCTGTAAGCTCCATGAGGACAAGGATTTTTGTTTCCTGATGAGCTCCAAATATTCAAAAAAGGCTCCTGGCATGTAAGTGATGCTTTTAAATCCTCAGTGAACACTGAATACTCATTATCAATGCTAGAAGTTACTGTCTACTTACTTCCTTTCAGGCACCATGCCAAGTACTTTAGAGTCATTATTTCAAAAAATATAAACATAAATAGGTATAGAAACATCCTACGTTGGTGAAGGCACATTTCATACCTAGGCAATCTGACTCCAAAGATCAAACTCTTACCTCCCTCTCCATTCAGCCATCCCCAACCACCTCCAGTGCCTCTCTTTGTTCCTTACAGTTCCTCATAGGACAAATAATAATGTTTGTCGAAAGAATGAGAGGACAAGGTTCCAAATCAAATTAAGAGCCCTGGGCTGTTGACTGTACCTGAGAGTTCTGATCTTCAAGGAGCCAGCGTTTCAACTGTCCAACACCAAACCAGGGTTAATAGAGGAATAGAAATAGGATTGACCAAATGAGTGTGCCAATGTTAAGCCCTGCCCAGCCAGGTAGCTAACCATGTTTTTATTGACAGGGAAATAAAGACTTCAGAGAGAAATATGATTCGCTCTGCCTTGTCTCTAAGAGAAAAATGAGTTAGGCCAGAGAAATAACAGCTCGCTTCTTCTTTTGAAGACAACAGTTTATCTCCAGAGATACTAACACAACCAAGCACAGAGCAGGGCCACTGGTTCAGCTACCACATGGACAGGGGTACAAGAGGCGTGATGAATGGGGGACAAGAGGGTTGGAGCTGCACGGTGTCTCAGGCCATGGAGATTGTCTTGAGCCCCCAGGAGGGATGGCCTGTATGTGCCTGAAATGATTCTGAGCACTTTTTACTTGAAAGGCAAACAGGCATATTGATGGGAAGTATATCTGGTGCCAAACAATTAGAAAAGCCTCCTGTTCTTACTGATTATATTTCATTCATTTCAATAAATATCTACTAGTTACCTACTCTGTGCCCCAGCCTGCATTCGATGCTTGTTTCTTTTACAGCGGCATGGCAGGATTTATAGTTGCAAGCCTTGGAAACCAGGGTTCAGAGAACAGCCAGGAAGAGCAAGCACTTATTGAGTGCCAGGGGCTGGGCAAAACAAGTCTGCACACGTTATGGTTACAACAACCATTTAAGATACAGACTTTATCATCTCAGTTTTACAGATAAGAAAACTGAGGCTTTGAGAGCTTATGTTTCCCTAAGTTGCACATATAGTGGGTGACAGAGTTGGTATTTAAACGAAGGAAGTCCTGTATCCTTGCTCTGAAATTCAAGGCTCTTCTGAATTCAGGGGTTAAATAATTAGCCCGACATCATGCGACTTGCCAGAGATGAAGCTCCACTCCTACCCAGAGCTCTTTCCTCTATCCCTGCCGCTTGAGGAAGTTATTTATTAATATTGGAAAGGCATTTATCATCTGATAAGAGAAACAAGACAAACATAATACAGAGCTAATATCACACCAAGGCCAAAGTCTGGCCTTCAGTCAATTAATAAGCCCTCCAGGCATAAATATTGTGTTCAGAATAGAGAGAAAATCAATTGGCATTGCATCCTACTCTGCGCAGGCCTTTACTGAGAATTTCTATGCACTCATGCTTTACTCGCGTGGCAGAGGCATATCCTGCTCATGGACCACCACATGCTGCCCTCATATCCTTGCTCCTGTGCACTAGGCAGAGCCAGGTGATTTATTTGGGACAATAGACTGGGAGGGGATGTGATATGTATCACTTCTAGGCCCAAACAAGAAGAGCACATGAAGTTTCTATGTTTCCCAGAACATTCCAGGTTTGTGGAGGCTTTGTCAGCCTGGGTCCCTGAGTTTCTCTGGGGAGAAGCTTTGTGCTGAACTGCGCTGGATAAGTTTCATGGTGACGAAATACATCGATTATGTGTCCAGGCATTGCAATTAGAGGTAAATTTGTTACTGCAGCATAACTTGGCCTATCCTAACCATGCAGAGGCCTGCTGTCATTTAAAAAGAGAACATACAAGGAAAGGTTGGGGACACCAGGAGAGGATTATGCTAAGTGAAATAAGCCAGTTAAAGAAAGACAAATACCATATGATTTCACTTATATGTGGAAGCTAATAAAAATAAACTAACAAAATAGAAACAGACTTATAGCTGTTAGAGAGGAGAGTGTAGGGGAGCTGGGTGAAAAAGATGAAAGGATTAAGAAAAAAAACACCTCATAGACAGACAATAGTATGATCATTAACAGAGGGGAAGGGGAAGGTGGGGAGAGGCAAGAGATTGGTAAAGGGGGGGCTAAATGGTAATGCAAAGAGACATGACTTGAGATGGTAAACACAAAATACAATATAAAAACCCTATACAATTTTATTAACCAATGTAACCCCAATAAAAGAATAATTGATTATATGCTTTATTATTAATTCAGCTCTGCCAGGGAGAGATGACTTGGGACA